TGGTGTTGCTTTGCCCAAGCTCAGGAGGAACGGAAGGGGTGGAAGGACCCAGTGAGGTGACCAGGGAGCACATGGAAACTCATTATACACCACCACAGAATTTCTGCCAGGGTTTTTTTGGCTTTGCTTTCTGTGAGTCATCCAGTGTTTGTCTATCCAGCATAAAGCAATGAGGTACAGGTATGGTTGGTGGATGCGCCCAGTACACATGGTCCATCTGCATGGGAGAGCACAGTGTCAAGCACACCAGTAGATTTGTGGTAGCTCAGATGTAGCCCAAAGTCCATAAATGTGGCGCTAGGACTCAGGCCATCTTGTAATGAGCCAGCTGATGCCTCTCTGCACCAGAGAGTCATTGTTCCTTCCTTTGGCTTGGGAAAGGTGACTGACACAGATAGTGGGATGGCTTCCTTAGTGTGACTTACTGCATATTCCCTGCTGGTGTGAAAGTCATGGCTAAAATTTTGGATATAATAAGGTTAGAGATTTAAAGATGCCACTCTGGACTGGAATGTCGATTATTTTTTTTAACACAAACCAATATGTAGGTTATGTAACAGAGCACAAGCTAAGTGCTAATAAAAAAATGTAAACACTATTGCCATCTTGTGGCTTAAAGTTGCTTCAACAGACTTTTGTGCACGGATTATATACTCCCTCTGATGTTCTGTAAACATAACACATTTTCAATTAAATAGGCGAATCAAAGTGGCACAACACAGAAGCAATGTCCAGACCTGCACATCAGAATCAATTACAGAAGTGGAGAAACAATCCTGTTTGTCTAGAAGGACTAATCACGTGGAGAGCCGTTGGGAGCTGAGAGCACACAGGTCATTATTGAATGAAATAGCACCAGGCATATTTTTTTCCATTGAAACAAAAGGATATTCTGCAAGAATAAAACTTTTGGATGACTCTCATTTTTCTTGAGAAGAAATTACTCGTGTATACAGTATGAGCCTGTGATGTTTAAAGCAAATACTGCTCAGATTCCAGTTGGGGAAAATACTTCGCTTTTTAAAATAAAATCTATTGTATAATATTAGATACAGAATGCTACAGGCATATAATGTCTTAAGGCATTATATTTTTGTTGATTGTGGTTTTTTTTCCTGATTCCTACCTGTTTATTCAGCTGATCTTCTGAGCACTGTTAGAAACAGGACACAATATTAAATAGAGAATGCTGACCTAAATCAGATGAGTGGTCTGTGTATTTTACACATGAAGTTCATGTGAAACTTAATGTTGATTGATTGTTTCACAAAAAATTTAATTTTTGTATATTGTTTAGCAGAATAAATTTTAGGAAACTATGTCAGAGCATCAGATTTTCTTTTCTTTTTCTATATTCAGCAACCACCAGTCAAGAAATAGAACTGGGCAGGAAACAATGGCTTTGTCCCATTGAGTTGTGATTTTTCAAGACTTCTCCTGCTCTGTGCTTGTCAGACCTCAGATCCACAGAAGTTTTTTTCAGACTTTGTAGAGGACATTGACTATAGGGTGGCCAGCAGCCTTGTGTTTAAAGCATTTATTCAAGACGATAACAGCCAAGACAAAGGTCCTCAATTGCTCTTCTCATACCCCTGTATTCAGTATAACATTGTTCATTGCAACACTGTTCACTTCTATGGGATTTTTATCTCTATTCTTGATCAGAAAGCCCAGCCTAGACAGAAAATGATTGGCAGCAAGACATTTTCTTTTTTTTCCCATGCAAACTTTGGCTTGGTTTGGTTTTTCATTAACTATTTTCTTAGCTTTTTTATTTAGGAAAAGTTCTCAGCTTTAACAGAAATATTGTAACAAAAAACGTTAACAATTTAAATAGGACACAAAACACTGATGGCCAATGACCCAAAGCTATGAGGTTCAAATATGAGATATTTTGATCTGTTTAGTAATTCCATTTCTGCGTTTTTTTCATTTGGGAATACATTAAAACTCTGTTCAGAGTTAATTTATACTTATGCACATTCCGTACTTTCTCCTTATCTATCTATGCCTCATTTGTTTGCATGTATGATTTCTTAGAACCTATTGAAGTCCAAATCCTATAGATCACACGTTTGATTAATGTAGAGTCACGAATTTACCTTACTCTTCTGTGACAAACAGAATGTAGTATAACATCTGTGAATTTGAACCTAATAAAGAAAGGAGTACAACATCTAAAATGCACAATATTCCTAGACACTTCTCTTTCAGAAAATATTTGCCTCGGTGAGATTATTTTGTATGCAAATGCTACAGTGATTCTTGCTACTGGCATGAGTTGTGTATTTTTCTGTGAAAGTGAGGTTTAGGTTATTTGTAAGATATAGGTTACATTTTTGTTTTATGATAGCCTGTTGAGGCTGCAGTCACCACAGCAGGCAAACAATATACTGTGTTGTTTGTACCAAATCCTTATCACCGACTAGATCCAAATATGAAACTCTACCTAGTATGACAGTACCTGCTACCCCTGGCATGACACCTAAACACAAGGTACAAAGGGGCCAGACCTTCAGTAGGAGGCCATCTAAGCCAGCTGATAGTAAATGTGAAGAAGTAGGATGCTGCCCTCCTGGCAAACAGAACAGAATAGCATCTTCCTTCATGTCAGGCTTATTGTAATAAGTCACCTTCCTTTGGCTAGGGAGAAAGAAAAATGCCTTGGTTGCTAGATAATGTGCTTTTATGGGAAACCCAAGTTAGAGATCCTGCTGAAGTAAATATTTGTGTCTCCTACATACATACAATAAAATGGCTTTAATGAGAAAATTTAAGAGTGGTTACTTTACTGCGCATCAAAAGCTAGTGGTCTGAATGTGTTCCTAGGAGCTAGATGACGTAAATCAACATAGGAAGGATATAAACAAGTGTGGGTCACTCTCATCGCACGCTTCCTCGCTTCTGTTTTGCTGCATTTAAGGGCTGTCAGATCTGTCAGATCTGTTCTAGTAGGTTACGTGGGCAACCTTTGTTGATGAACTCTCCTGAGGTCAAATCTTTGAGTGCATCGAGAAGGACCAACACCAGAAATTTACTTCTTTGGGACTGAGACCTTCTAGTGCTAAGCAGACATTCATTGTAGGTTTGGAGAATCTTTAGGTTTTTTATTCCTTTATCAGTTAGTTCCTTCACAAACCACCTCTACATAAACAAATATACAATTTTTTTAAAAAATGCATCTTGTTGAATTTTACTGATACTCATTCTGATACTTCACATATTTCCATCAGTTTCACTAAGAATACAAACCCTGACATGCAGCTTGCTTATGTACACAGGAGACAGTTTACCAAAATTCACAATGAAGTTATGGATATAAAACTTTAATGGATTTTGCCTGCCATTCCAGTACGTATGGCTAACAGATACTACATGTATGAATCCAAAAATGGATGACGAATTTCAGGTTATGGATTGCAAGTGGATGATCTAAACTACAGCCTACAATTTTTACTCCAGTTTTGAAAGTAGCACATCCCATGAGCAGATCAGAACAGAGACTGTAATTGAAAGCCACACAAACTCTAGTTTCTTCTTTCATTTCCTTTCAGTCTCAGCTCTGTTGGTTGATGTATAGAAAAGAAAGTAGAGCTATTCCACAGCTCTTATCTATTGCAAGGGATCCCTCATATACTGTAACATCATGGTGCATTTATAGCAACCTTCAGTTACTTCACTGGCTATCTGCCTTCTGGCCTGCTTGCTTAAACAGAGCCCAGGAAGGTGGAGTCTGTAACAAGACAGCATAACAAGTCACCTGAGTGCAGAAGGTGAATGCCAATATATTTCTAGGGTATGACATCAGTACTGGTAAATTTTCAAACATCACCTATTGTTATCTTGCATTTAAGATATATATTGACTCTGGCGTGTACTGCAGTATATCTAATCCTAGGAGTCTGATGGGGATTTGCACCACATGCGTATTTAATAATATGCATTTCTTGCATGTCTTTAGACAAAGCCGTTGGACAAAAAAAGCCTCTTTGGGAATTGTGCTTTTTACCTCTTTTTTTTTTCTCTTTATTTTTTTTTCCTAAAGTGCTGCCCATTTTGCCAGGAAAAGATCCTTGAAAAACATATAATTATGTGATAATATATACACATCTACACTTAGTATTTCAGAATATAGCAGATGTTCTTTCCACTTTCTTTTAATATTTTCCATTTTTTCAGATGAACAAGTGTCATTTGTTGGTTTAGATATTATTCTATTGCTAATCCAGTGCCAGAAATTTCTGATGGTTGCCTTGGGAAAAACAGCTACTTAACATGGTATATAATACAATAAGGATTTTGGCTCCATCTTTCAGACTCGGATGGTTCATTGCTATAGAATATAAAGTATTTTCCAATATTTCCCACATTAATATGCAGGTGAGAGGAACAGAAACATGGTTGGTTGTTCTCAGTATAATCTTATCTATCAATATCAAAAATATGGCAATGCCAGTCCACATTTAGCACTTAGAAGCTACTGATTCACCACTGCTGTATGTAGAAAAAAAAGGTGGCTTCAATTTGGAGGGCAAATTGAACAAGCCATTCTAGCTAATGGCAATTCAAAACACATGAAAGATATTAACTGAAATTTCATGATTATATATAGAGTTCAAAGGACATTATCTTGCACTGGTGAAATGAAACTCAAACTGAAGCTCTGATGGCATTTTAATTCCTTTACTGGTTATAATATTACTGGGGAATAAGGATTTTTTTGTTGTTGTTTCATCTTTAAACAAATGGAGTACATTAAAAATAAAAGTATTCAAATATGTTAAGTATTGATTCCTGTAGCCATAATACTAGCGTAATATTTTACTACAGTCTTAAGATGTCAAGTAACCATGCACCTAATGTTAATGAGAATTACAGTATCACACACTTTCATAGGAAAATGGCTAAAAATAACATGGCTAAAAATAAAGTTACCAAAAATATAATTGTATCTGGTCTGTACAGGGGTAAAATGCTGTAAATAGCTGTGCATTACTTACTTTAGGTAGTTATTTGCCGTAGAAAGGAATCAGTCAGTGATCTCTGAATGAGATTAGAAAGGAGTTATGCCTTTGCTGCAGTTGATAGATTCCAGTCTATCAAATATGGGCTGCCTTTTAAACTAGGACAACAGGAGCTCTCTAAAATGCAGAGAAAAAAAAATTGAAATGTTGGCAATATATAAGCCTTTTATTGTGCATTTTAGAAACACACAAAACTTAATTTCTTTCTCAAAAGATAACAGATTTTTCATCAGGTCCCTGGAAAGGTGCCATTTTGGAGTCCACATGCTTTTTCTTGACTCTTTATATCAGAAAAATAATTAAATATTTTTCTTTCCTCCCCCATCCCACCCAGGATAGTTCATAATTTCTTTGAGTAAAATGTGGTCACGTCTGTGCCAATTTGAAAAAAAATCCGGTTTTGACATGGCCATTTCTTTTAGGATTTTATTTGTGTGTCGTTTTTTTCTTTTTACTTGTTTTGGTTTGGGTTTTTTTTTTTAGTTTTTGGTTTCATCTGGGCCTGCCATGAATTTTGGAAATGTGTGAACTTGTCTTTCCAATCAAATGACTTTTCTTTTTTTTTTTTCCTAATTGGGACTTCAGTGTGGATATGGCTACCACTTAAATAGCAAGCAGACCCATCGATAGGTTCTCTATAGGGTTCACAACCAGGTGGTGGCAAATGCCCCTCTTCACTCAGATTTCAATAGCTTATCATTTCATATGCCTTGGAATGCATATTTCAGTGAGCAAAAGATGTCATAGTATGACTTAAAAGAGATGAAAATGCCCCGGCTGAATCAAAGGGCTATTTTTTGCCATTTCAAGACTCTCCTAGCCAAAAAGTAACACAAGTGTGTACCAGGCTAGATACAATTCTTATGACAGCTGCCTCTCAAACACACTGTATCTCTTATTTTGCAGAGGTAAAGCAGGCTTTCAGTTGCAATTTGAAAGGGGATTGCTACTGCCTCACAAGAAAACCGGACACGAACAAGTTCAAAAAATAAGAGTAGACTGTCTCTGAAAAGAGGCAATTATCAGCTAGAGAAACACAGGGCGAATTCTTAATCCAGAAAGCAAGGAAGATTCCCAGCCATTTGCAGATAATCCTATTTTCTCAGAATTGTGTGCTCTGAAAAATTTCCTTTTATACTGAGTACACGTTAAAGAGAGAGTGATATGCTGGTGCATGTTGAATTACCACCCGGTACTGTGGATTACCATCCTTCTTGTTCGCTTTTCCCAGTGAACACAAGACATTGCAGAATGCAGAATATTGCCTAAGTCTACACAAATTACTGAAAATCACAGTCTGGTAGATTTAGAAATTGACATAAAATTGTTCTTATATAAATAGGGTCTGAGAACAAAAGTGATACAAACAGAAATTTACCACTTTGCTTAGAAAAAAGTCAATTTATAGTCAATGAAATGTTTGCTTTATTGAAAGGGTTTAACTGCTGAGACAGGGCAGAACATCAAATTACCCTGAGCATTTATGGTTGCAGACCTTCCTGAAAGGCTGCTACCAACAAAACAGAAGTTTCCTCCTGCTTTTTTATTAATGTCTGGAAGAAACTAAGTAATAATTTTGAGAAAAGGCTTCCAAAAACAAGTGGTGTAACTGCATTTATTTTGAAATGCAGTTTCAAATGACAACTTGTATCTTTTTCAAAAGCATTTTCTTATGTTAAAATGGACAGTGTTTTACTGCTCTGACAACTGGACCAGTTACTTTCAGAGCACATTAACAATTCAGATAGCAAAAATGTAATGTTCCCAGGCAGACTTTTAATGGAAAGTGAAATGTTCTACTTGGCCAACTTTGGAGGAAGTGTATCAGTTTTGGCAGGCTGATAACACCAATGAATTCTGAGCCAGTATACAAAGAAAGAACTGGGGGAAGTATTATTACTGTTGCAATGCTTTACCTTTGTCTGTTTTATTTAACAAGTTGTCAAATTTAAGAATTATTTTCCTTTTCATCAACATGTGATTGTAAGGGCATGTGTGATACTGACTGCATGTCTTGCTCAGCCCCAATTTCTGTGAAAATGTATAAATATAGTAGGATCAGGTTGCTATTCAACAGAAAAAGTCTTAAACATGTATTCATTGACATATTTTAGACCATTTTGAGCCTGTTCCATTTGATGTGTTATTCCCAGGTAATTTCTCCTCTTTACGAGTATAAATTGAATCACTGGCTGTTCCACATGTCCACTGGAAGATGGTTAGGACTTCACATTTAATAAAGTTAACTTCTTTAGCTGTAAAACAAATAACTTTTTGATTTTGATAGGGAAAAGTTTCTAGCAAAAAGATAGTGTTACATGCTTTAATTTTATTGCAGTCTCAGAGGCAGTTCACTTGAAGAATGAACACTGATTTCCTCATCACTGTTGGAGCTATAAGCTTGAATGAGCCCTTAGAGTAAGATCTGATCCAAAACACTGGACTATCCGTGTGAAACAGTTTAACAATGCATATTAGCAGGATGCAATTTTTCTCTTAATCTAAGTAATTCTGGTGAGGAAGAAATACATCATGGCTTGGGAAATAGTTTATCCCTAGTGTCTTGAAGCCATGATAACACTATTCAGCCTGTCCCAAGACTTTGTCAATAATCCATTATGTAATGTTATGCCATCATTTCCTCTGTGTATGGAACTTTTTCTACCTACCTCTAAAAACATTTTAAAGGCAGAAAAATATTTCTCAGTGCTGTCTCCCTCTGCTTGAGGACATTGACTTGCTTCCTATTTTGCCTCTGGTTTGATGTGTGATCTTAGGAAAGTCATTTAGGCTCTTTGCTCTTCCTTTTTAACATAAGTCCCAAGAGGTGATAAAAGATGTTTGCACTCAGTGCTTAGAATCACAACCAGTGGCACCTTTATCCTGCTGTGGCATGTGTAAACCTTGTCTTGGCCCTTTACTTAGCACCGGAGTTGTATACCTACCAAAGCCTAAAGCAGGAAATCTGATTATGCTCTTCTTTACCTACTTCTCCTTTAGAAGCTCTTCATCTTTGCATTAGCAAAGCAGCAAGAAAAATATGTGAATTTGTTTATTTGCTTGTTTTTTGTCTATTTCTTTATAAATTGAAGCTAACTGGGGAAAGCTTTTCTGTCAGAAGGGAAGAGAAATTGCAACCGATATATTGAAAATGCTTCTAAACCTGATCTATGAGTACCTTAGATTAAAGTTCAGTGTCATCAGCCCTTAACGAACAAATAACAATTCTATGCATCTCATCAGCATGCTGGCAGTCTCCTCTTTCTGATAACAGAAATATCTTGTTTTCAAATCCACAAAATAAAAATGTCACTACTAGGGGAAAGCTTTTCTTGCGGGTTGGTTTTCATAGACAGTGAAGCAGTTATTTGCATGGAGCAGCTGAAAAAATTTTGAAGAAGAGAGGAATAGCAAGGCAGAGTGTGTATTTCATAATACTAGCTGAATATTTAATATCTCACATATTTCCCTGTGGTTGAGAAATGCTTGTAGTTGAAGACATGGCAGCATTACCTGTTACATGGATATCATTAGTACATATATATATTAGTGTATAACGACTCTAAGAATTGCTTCTTAAGATATATTTTGATTGTCTTTTAGTTATGCCATCCAGTCAATAAGCAGCTACCTTTTCCTACTTTCAAATGACTAGATCAAATGAGTATGCTCATTTGATGCTAATGCAATTTTTGTCCATGTACTTTGCAAATTTCAGTTCAGAGATTGTCACAAGAAACTTTTCTAACATTTTTCTGAATCTGCTTCTGAAGTACATTAGTGTGAAAAAGATGGGGCAGCAGATTAATTAGTGAGTAAGTGAACCAGTTAATTAATGTTACAATTAAATCTGCCTGAGGTATGCTTATAGAATCCTTGGCACTTCTCAAGTAATGAAAAAGTGTTTGCTCTCTCCCTCATTCTCAAAGCTCCACTGAAAATGGGGCTTGTCTGAAACAATGCTCCTGTGAAGCTGGTCAGAATGAGGTAGATGAGTGAGTTATCATGGGGTCAGAATTATTTTATGTCCTGTCTGTGATAGGGTTATTCTACTGTTCATAGGACTGAAATAGAAAATTTGTTATTGTGTTCAATTTGCTGCCAAGAGATCAACTTTGTTGCTTTTGGCAATCACTAATGATTTTTTATTTTGCATGAGCAGCATAATGTTTTATTTCTGCCCCCATTTTTCATAAAAAGTTAATTTGCATACATTTCTGCAAGAGTGAACCATGTTACTATGGGAAAAAAAGACTCCATGAATAGTCTGAAACACAGAGGATTTACCATAAATAAAAACCAGGGGAGAAAAGGTGAAATAAAGTCATGTAATGTGTTTCAGACCCAAGCATTCATGTTGTAAAAAAGGTTATTTTCCATCTGATGGTAAATCAGGATCCTGTTTTGTGTATCTGGTTGTCACAATGTTGTCTGGGAGCTAAATCCACATCCATGAGCTAGGATGAGTACCGAGCTCTGAACATATGCTCCCTACAGCTAGTCATGTCCCCAGAGTGGTGCCCAAGCTCCATATCTAACACAACCTGACCCTGGAATTTACTGAGGCCAGATAAGCAGTGCATTGAAAAGAGTGCTTCGATTCCTCTCTTCCAAAAATAGTCACTTCAAGCTCTGGGCTGAGAGCAGTCACCTTCCTGGCTCTGGAATTCAGCACCTTATTCAAATCACACAAACCTTGGGGATGCAGCAGCAGCAGCAATCCCTCCTGGTGCTGTACTGATGGGATTACAGCAGTTGTGTGCCTGATGACTGCACTCTGCATTTCCTGCCAGGGTCCAGAGCCTTGTCTCTGTTTCTGGACATGCAGAAGGATACAACCTAAGCTCTAAGGGATTGCAATCAACTTATTTGTTTATTTATTTATTTATCTTTAATTTAAAGATGAATGCAATGAGTTGGAGTAAAAATCACTGGAGAGAGAGAGAGAGAAGGAGAGAGGAAGGAAGGGAGGGAGAGAAGGAGGGAGGGAGGGAGGGAGAACAATGGGCTTGGGCAACCTTGGGAAGGTTATAGTATTTCACATATACCAGTGGCAGTGCAAATGAAGCTATCCATTTCCACTGTTCA